TATATATATATATATATATATATATATATATATATATATATATATATATATATATATATATATATATATATATATATATATATATATATATATATATATATATATATATATATATATATATATATATATATATATATATATATATATATATATATATATATATATATATATATATATATATATATATATATATATATATATATATATATATATATATATATATATATATATATATATATATATATATATATATATATATATATATATATATATATATATATATATATATATATATATATATATATAATTGTAATAATATTGTTTATACATATAATAATGTAATTTTCATTATTAAAAATGTATTTATTTAGATATACAGGGTCGGCCATTTATATGGATACACCTCAATAAAATGGGAATGGTTGGTGATATTACCGTCCTGTTTGTGGCACATTGGTATATGTGAGGGGGCAAACTTTTCAAGATGGGTGGTTACCATGGTGGCCATTTTAAAGTCGGCCATCTTGGATCCAACTTTTGTTTTTTCAAAAGGAAGAGGTTCATTTGACACATCAAACTTATTGGGAATTTCCCAAGAAAAACAATGTGAAATATATTAAAATATTTAATTATTTTAGGTAATATCTAACATTATGATTTATTCATTGCTTTATTTTGTATTATTTTAAATAATTGCTATAAATTATTTTAGATAATATCTAACTTTGATTTATTTATTATTTTATTGTTTATTATAAAAAATACTTTAAAATAATGTTATTGTTGTTATTATCAATAATAATTTATTTATTTATTTTTTTTATTTACACCAGAAAGTAATATTTTATTTTCATCTTGGTGAATCCACTATTTTCAACATTCAAAAGTGTTGTTTTATTTGATTTATTTTAGCTTTTGTTTGTATTATTTCATTATTTAATTTTATTGACTATTTTCTTTTCTTTCTTCTAATCAAAATCACCCCCAATCACTCTAGAATGTGAATAGTCTCTTGTTTTAACATCACAAAAAACAAAACCTCACAGCATTTGCAATATTATACAGCACTCATTTAATAGTTTCACAAATTCTACTCAATTTTAAATGATCACCAATATACTAAATCCCAAATAAATAACTATTTCCACCAGATGCTGGACTAATAGAGACCTTATCTGTCACTCATCTGTCACTTCACACCTTCCAGCTCTTTCACAATCCATCATGAATCCCAAAAGCAGACAGACAGGGGCTGTTCTTGTGTCCTGCTGGGGCATGTTTTCACAAAAGCAGGGTTAAACAGAACCAAACCTCCATCTCCAGTGGCTACTACATGCCGCCTATAGTCCATCTGTGTCTGTTCTATTGTTTGTAAGCACTCAATGCTAAATACTCGTTGTCAGAAGTACACCAGTCATCCCTTTTCAGGACAATAGGCCACGCGTCACTCACCTCAATCAATGGAAGTGCGAGTCAAGAAAAGGTGCTGTTTTGTCAAAGGGTGTTGGTAAGGTGTCATAAACCCTGGTATGGGTGTTTTGTTGGGACAGACATGTAAATTTTGATGCGATTTGGCTAAATTAGGCCATACTCACACTATGTAAAGTTGCCTTGAACCGGTCCAAAGCACGCTTGTCCCCCCTCTCGTCTCCCCCGATGGCCCGCACTCACACTGCAATCGGGCCTGGGCTGCTTACGTCATCGATGTTCAGTAAGCGCTCTCGCCCAGTACAGTGGAGATTTCTCACATTTAAGTCGTTTGATATGCAGTGACATGTAGTCAAATATTTCGCCAAACAGTCCTTAGGGATGCGGTGACACACAGACTAGTTTTGTGGTCGGGTTTAAATATTATATTATATTGCAAAGATAAAGTTTGGCTAAAATACACATCAAATAATACAAGCTGTGTATTCATTTTACATATGGAGAGATACTGATGGAAAGTAGAATTGCTTTTCTGGACTTATATAATCTAATACAACTCTTCCATGTTTATTTCTTTCTTGATTTAAAAGTGCATATGAAGAAATGATCTAATTGCCTGTGTATTTTCTGTGTGTGTGTGTAAGGAGGTGGACCGGGTGCAGCTGCTCAACACTAAGCTGCAGGCCTACAGTCAGTTCGGTCTGCCGAAGCTTCCACCTCAGCTGGCCTTTCACCAGGACTCCTGGGAGGAGGAAGAGGAAGAGCCCAACCTGACCCTGGAGGACAGCTGGAGGACACTTCTGGACGACCCCGAGGTACACACTTATGGGACATTACACACACATCCTGTCTATTGATCATCGCGACAGATGCAGACATTACTGTAATTGGCTTAAGCGAACATATGTTGGCTTTAGATATTACACAAACCAATGCTCTTTGCCTCTCAGGACTGTTGGTTTAAAGGTCCCATGAATTTCAAAAAAAGATGTTAGTATCAGTATTGTTAGTTTTTATTATATCTATAAGCTAGTGTGCTCCAAAACAGTGACAATTCACTTTTAAAAATGATATAAACATGTATAAGGCAAGGCAGTGGCGCAGTAGGTAGCGCTGTGTGTGTGGATGTTTCCCAGAGATGGGTTGCGGCTGGAAGGGCATCCGCTGCGTAAAAACTTGCTGGATAAGTTGGCGGTTCATTCCGCTGTGGCGACCCTGGATTAGAAAAGGGACTAAGCCGACAAGAAAATGAATGAATAAACATATATAGCTTGTAGTTTGTCACTTCCACCTAAATTGATCAACAGTTTTATTCACATCACCTCATACTTCAGTTTCTTATCAAGTTTTGACTAATCAAATCCTCTCTAGTATCTAACATGCCCCGCCCCCTTCAAGACACTTTTGATTTGATGGCCTTAAGCTCAATCACTCTTAGTGGCAGAGCTGTAATAAAACAACAAAACGCTATTGGCTGTTTTAATAAAAAGGGGAGGAGCTACTCTGTCCCACCCTCTCTTCTTTTTCTGCACATTTCAAAGCAATTCACAGGACTTAAGATTTATTTGATTTATTGTTTATTATTACACCTTTATCAGACTTATATCAGAGGTTTAATTAGATGAATGTTATAATAGCAGTTTTGAGGATTAAAAAGATCAAGTATTATGTTTATTTAAAAACATAAAAAATATGTTTATTTATTATGTTTATTATGTCCATTAAAATTACTGTTATTTTTTAGGATTATGTAGTATCTGCTGACTTGAAGTGTGATGTGATATGGTTAATAGTTTTTGACTATTTAAAAAGTTGCTTTTGTTAGCAAAAAGCAACTATGATTGTCCACTGTTATTGATTTATTTAAACATATGTTTGCTTTAGTTTTCACAGACCATTTGCAGTTTGCACGTTATCTGATTGGCTGTTTATTAGTGCACCTTTATCCTGACTTTATGGCCTTTTTTGTCTGTTTTCAGAGTTTAAGTAGACGTCAGTTCCAACAGCAGGAGGCCATATGGGAGTTGATACAAACTGAGGCTACGTACATCAAGAAACTCAGGGTTATCACTGATGTAAGTTATTTTTCTGGAAATTATTTCAACTCATTATTTTGGAAGGTTCAAAGAAAACATGAAGCTAAACCCTGCTATTATTTATATTCAGCAGTTCTGTCTGGTTGTCGAATCTGATTGACTGATAGCCTTGAGTTATTAAAGTAATATCAGAACTCGTTCAGCCTCTTCACCATGAGTGGCAAGCAGAGGACTACAGTTTGACAAATATTGCAGCTGTTGGACAACGTATACTTTTGAGGCTTTTTTAGTCGAGAATGTAGTTGTTTAGATTGCAACTATGCAGTTTATTTTTAAGGATAGAGTTTATTTTAAATCATTTTAATTTCGGAGATACAGCACAATGGCATCCATCATCCTGTCATACTGAGCAGAGCAAAGACGGTTGATGTTCCGCCACAAGATGGCGACAAAGTCCACATGAAAGCCACAATCATGCTTTACAGCCTTATAATCTTAAAATGTGACCCATATCACCTGTTTTGTCATTAATTTAGACATTACGCTATAGAGAATCATTCAAGCACTAGCTCTAAAGTGATGTTGGTGAAGTGGCAACCGTTTCTGCTGTTCTAACGTCAGCTGCAGTTGTGAAGGAATGGAGGATGAAAGTAGTTCCTCATACAAAAGGATTTTTAGACTCTCCATGTTTGATTTTCTTTTTTATATTCGCGATTATGCCAGTGACCTACTGTAAAAGGCAATATCACACTTTTAGCAGTGCGATATGGCCGTATATCATCACTGGTGGGACACTAAGACACCAACGCACGCCTCCCAGCAGTACCGATATACAGCCATATCGCACTGCTACTCTGTGATATTGTTCATATATATATTTATTTATTTATGTTTTGATTGTGTTTTTATTTTTAGATAAATTAATATATTAAAGTTTGTGGTTTAAATTTTTTTTACATAAAGACAACAAGATAATTGAAATATCACGTTTAACAAATATAGTGACATTAGATCCAACGGGAGATGCTTGAGCAGTCCGATAAGCACAGCTCTCATTTGGGTAGATATGCTGCAGCGCATGCCAGAGTGTGTGTGTGTGTGTGACGTGCGTTTCAGTCATTTTTGTGTAGACTTAGAGCTGTTCAGAAACACTGGGTGAAACGCTAGTTCGGACGCGGAACGTTTTCCTTCTAAAACACCGTTTTAAAACCTAAAAGCACTAATGTAAACGGGGCCTAAGCCAAGATCTAATCAATCAAAGCACTCTTAAAGGTGCTGTTTTCAGAGAATTGAACTGTTTCAGACCCAAAAAGAAAACACACTGTATGATATGAAATAAAGTGCTATTTGTGGATCTCGTATGGATATAAATCTACTATAGCAGACTTTATTAATGTATCTGTATGTTTTCTGTGCAGCTGTTCCTGTGTGGTCTGCTGAATCTGCAGGATAATAGTCTTCTGGGTGAAGTAGAGCCCACTCGGCTCTTCAGCAACATCCAGGACATTGTGCGTCTGCACTGCACGCTGTGGGTTCAGGTCATGTTTCCGGCGCTGGAGAAAGCGCGAGGATCCCGGAGCTTGATCGAGCCCACAGACCTGCAGGAGGGCTTCAGTACGGTGAGTTGCACATCAGCTTGTTGTTCAGAGTAAATTCAGAAAACGATGGTGGTTTTTGATGTAAAGTGTGTTGTTTGTGTGGTTAGTTTGCATCCCGGTTTCAGCCGTATATCCGGTACTGTATGGAGGAGGAGAGCTGTATGGAGTACATGCGTTCACTGCTCAGAGACAATGAGCTCTTCAAGATCTACATCACGGTGAGGAGATTAAGACCAACCGTCAACACACCTCAACTATCTTTACTTTTTTATTGTTTAAGATGCACTATTTATGATGCTTTGCTGCATGTTCTCTGTATGTAGTTAATTCAATCTTATTTATAGAGCACTTTAAAAGCAAAGAAGTGAGCCAAAGTCATAATAGTATGTAATATACAAGATAAAATATAGTTAAACTACCTAAAAAGGGCATCTAAAATAAAATAACCAGTTATTATTAAGATCAGGTGTTTTAAATGTATGAGGTAACTTGTAATATAAATATATTATCTAATATCTAATACTACGATTTATTTATTATTTTGTTTTGTTTTGGTTTTGTTTTTTCTTAAATAATTATTTTAAAATATTGTAGGTTTTCATTTCTATAATAAATGTTTCAGTATCTGTATAATATACATATAATGTTTAATTTGCTAATTGTATTACATTAAGTAGAAGCAGAATTATAGACATTTACAATTGCTTTCTTGTGTACAAATAATTCATAAAACACTTCTTGGATAATGTGTCACAATTTCTGAATTTGTTATTATAATTTTTATTATTTGATTTAAAATGATAATATATTGAAATTATTTTCAAGAAATTATTATTTTAAGAAATGTTAGACTGTTTAGAATGTTGGATTTTTTTTCTTGTATAAGCATAGAAATTTATTGTATTGTTTTAATTAATTATTTAAAACTAATTTAGCTAATGTCTAATATATATATTTATATTTTTATTTAATTTTTATTTTATTAGGTAATATTTAATATTGTTATTTATTTCTTTTATTTAATTTTCGATTATCTTAATTATTTTTAAATATTTTGGGTAATATCTAATGTTATGCATTTTATTGTATTGTATTTTGTTTTCATTTTTATTTTATATTTTAGGTAATATCTAATATTATTATTATAATAATATATTGCATAATATTATATAATTATAATATAAATAGTATTAATTTATTTTATTAGGTAATATTTATTATTATGATTAATTTCTTAATAAATTAAAAAAAAATATATCTTAATTATTTTTAAATATTTTATGTGATATCTAATGTTATGTTTTTTATTTATTTATTTATTTATTTTTCTGATAGGTAGTATCTAATATTATGATTTATTTTATTTTACATTATCTTAAATTTGAATTGTATTTATTTATTTGTTTTACAAAGTATAGTCAGTTTACGACATTGAAGATGTCATTTATATTCATCAAATTTCTCACCTTTACAGTGGGCAGAAACGAATAAACAGTGTAACCGTCTGAAGCTAGCGGACATGCTAGTCAAACCGCACCAGAGACTCACCAAGTACCCCCTGCTCCTGAAGACCATCCTGAAGAAAACTGAAGATCAGGCCTCCAGAGATGCTCTCAACAACATGGTGAGACACCAACATTTCTAAACTATCACAAAAACAGTTACAGCACAGTGTGTACAGTATACAGTTGAAGTCAGAATAATTTGCCCTCCTGAATTACTAGAATTATTATTCCTTATTTTCTGTTTAACAGAAAAAAGCCTTTTTCAACTCAATTCTATAGATATTAGTATTAATAACCAATTTCTAAAAACATATTTCTCAAGGGGGCTAATAACATAGACATTCAAATGGTTAAAATTAAAACAAATATTACATTTAATACTGTGGAAAATTCCTTGCTCTGTTAAACATCATTTGACAAATGTTTGAGAAAGAAGATAAATTCACAGGAAGGCTAGTAATTCTGACTCTATGCTGATCTGCATGTGTGTCCGTGTATTCAGGTTGCATGTGTGGAAGGCTTCATCAACGGTGTGGACTCTCAGATGCGCCAGCGGCAGGAGCAGCAGAAACTGGCAGCCACTTCAGCTCGAGTCGAGTCATACGAGGCCGTGGAGGGAGCCAGTGAGGAGGTGGAGAAGGTACTACACAGAGAATTCCCCATGTGATATGTGTAAAAAATGAAGATTACCCCATAAGTCACTCACCCTCGAGCCATTTTTGGTCTCATTTTACAATGAGGTTTCATTATTAGTCAATGTATTTACCATCTATGAACAACAATGATATAGCATTTATTAATCATAGTTCAACATTTCCTTAAACCCAAATTCATGCTGGTTAACATTACTTAATGCACTGAGTTAACAATGAATGACTGTATTTTCACTGACTAACATTAACAAGCATGAACACCGACCGTACTAAATGTATTGTTCAGTGTTTGTTGATGTTAGTAAATACATTAACTTACACAACCTTATTGTAAAGTGTTACCATGACTTTATTCTATCAGATGAACACAGTCTGAGTAGTTTTAAATGTTATCCTGGCTCTTCAATGATGCTGTTGGAGAGTGGCTTTTATTTTGAAGCTTCCAAAAGTGCATGAATACATTGTAAAACTAACCCATTCGCTGGGTGGGTGGGTGTGAGTAAATTACGGTATCATTTTTAATCTTTGGGTGAACTGTTCCTTTAAATCTGCATCCTCATTTCCCCTTACTGTGTGCCTGCAGGCTCTAAAGGAGTTCAGCCGAATTGACCTGACCGCTCCGATGATTGGCACGTCGCCGGAAGAGACCCGGCAGCTGCACCTGGAGGGGGCGCTGCGCATGAAAGAGGGCAAGGACAGCAGGGTGAGCCAACATCAAAGCAGGCTTTTAAGATGCATTTTGGGAGCTCGTTTGCAGTGTAGCTTTTAAAAAGAAAGATGATTAAATGGATAGTTCTATGGTGGCCGAGAGAGATTAACATGCTTAAACATCTCCAAAATTAAGGGGCCGTTCACACAGAATGCATTTTTCCTCTCCAACACATTGCATTTCTTTTGTTTTTCATTGTAAACGTGCTGGACGAGTGTGTGTGACTGTTACTCTAGTTTTTTTTCCAAAGCCTAAAAAGATCTTCAACTTTCACCTGCAGCACAGCTCATCATTGTCAGGTCCAAAAGCAGTGGACCAATCAAGAGAGCTAGGAGGCGGGGCAATCTTTTATTTATTGTATAAAGTTGGCATGACAACTGCTTTATTAACCATTATATCATGGCGAAGGAGGTCCTCATAGTGGCTTTGTCCGGATATTTTGAGTTCTATGATGTATCTTCATGTGCTTTATCATAACTGTTACGATCCTTGGTGGAAATATGTCTAGGGAATTAAAAGGAGTAACATAGAGATGACCAATGAGTAAACTAATGGTGAAGATGGCGAGACAAAACACAAAACAACTGCAAAAGATTTATTGCTTCCAAGGTATTTACAATATTTACAAACAATAATAAATAAAAAAAAAAACAAGACAAATGGAGAGGGAACTGAAAGTTGCGCTAGCAAATCAAAGAAATAAATACAACAAAAATATTTCCTTAATCTCCTCCCCAATCCTCTAAATAAGAAAGTAACAATATGAAAAAGAAAGGTCTTCAGCGCAAAAGCACCTTGAACTTATAAATCATTTCCACTGACTGGTACAGTAATTAAGTAATACAGTAAGTAAATAAATGAACATATATGAACACAGACAGACCCTTACAGTCCCTGATATGTTACCAACTACAGAAAAACTACACACAGCATACATTTCGTCCTTAATTAGGTTCAAAACAACACAAAGTACAGGGACACTGGAGCACTTTAAAGTCACGTCGATTAGCTGGTTTGTCTATAAGCAGACATACGAGCGATTAGCTGATGACTCGCGGCCTTAAAATACTCCAGTGTGCCTGCATCTGTGGTTACACTCAGTAAACAGTGGTGAGTTCTGTGAACTGATGACCTTCACGGCCAATCACAGTCCTTTCTGTTGAGCATGTGCATAAAACGGCAAATCAGCCGTGTTTTAGAACGTGCTCTATAGCTGTTAGTGGGAAATGGACGTTTTTAAAATTTCAATATTGATTGGTACCCAATTCCAGTATCATGCAACCCTACATCACCATGCACTCGCCTTGAAGTAGTTCCAGATCTTTTATTTCTGTTGAACACAAAAGAAGATGTTTTGAAGAATGTGGTTAACTGGTAGCCATTTCAATTAGCTGTAAATCCATCCTAAGATAAATCTTTTTGGTGAATCTCAAATTTGAATTGGGTCCATTTTCATCACGTTGTTAAAGCAGCTACCTGTGTATTGGTTACTTGGCAGCCAACAGTAAACAAGGAAAGCATAATAGAGTCATCCGATTGGCCACTTGGATTTAATAGTTGCTACGTCAGAGTTAATTCAACAAATT